AGTTTATATATGGCAAATTTGGGGGAAAATTTTCATTAACCCCTATAATAACATTCTAAAAATGTTCAAAGCCTGCTGGATGAGACTTACATTGAACTTAAAGACTTTGGAAATGCTACCTTTAGTTAGCCTTTGGAATTGTCTTTGCCAAATACCTCAACTTTGGTACAAAGGCCTTTAAAGGCCCAAAATCCCTTGCCAAAGCTGTGTCGAATCCACGAGTCGCCACATTCTAAAAGAAACCAGGGATCTTATGTGCTTTTTTGTCTTGTACTAGATTTTTTTTTAAGTCTTTGTATGTCGATGTCAATGTAAATTGATCCGGTCGGTACTAACATGACACTTAAAGGCAAGATATTAACATAGGAGCCACAAACACACCATAATCTAAACGTTCAAAGTGAACAAAAGAAAAGTTTAAGCGCAACATTAAGCAAAAGATAGAAATTTAAAAAATTTGTGAAGTCATCGGTCATTCCCTATATGAAGTTTGCAAATAAATACTCACGAAACACTTATTGAATATAGTTTTTCATATGGATCTAGACACTCCTAAAATCATCAAAAAACACTAGTTATATGTAACCTTATTGAACACCAAACTCTTGGAACTAGTGCTTAGCAAATAATGGAGGCACTGGTTAGCATGACTTTACTTTGGTTCTCACTTCACCTATTTCTCTTGGAAGTTGCAAAGAAAGGAAAATGACACAAACAGTCCCTGAACTTTGACTCAATGTACAATATGGTCTCTGAACTTTTAATTTGTTCAATGCAGTCGTTGAAATTTAATCCAATGTGCAATCTGGTCCCTGAATTTTTAATTATTCAATATAATCCTTGAACTTTTGGTAGATGTTCAATTTAGTTCTTGGACTACATTGAATATTTTCATATAATTCAAGGATTAAATTGAATATATACCAAAAAGTTCATGGACAACATTAAACAAATTAAAAATTTATGGATCAAATTAAACATTATACTAAAGTTCAGAGACTGCATTGAATAAATTAAAAATTTATAGATTAAATTATACATTAAATCAAAATTCATGGACTATTTGTATTATAATCCCCGTAAAGAATGAGAGCAGGTTTCCCGATGCTCCAGAATCTCTCCGCACGTCACTTTGGCATCAGCTGCTTGCTCAAACTCGAAGAATCAATAGTCAGATGGCGAGTCGGTGGGAGCGAAGGTGGTACAAAAGAAAACGCAGCCGACAAGATTGGATGACGAATGATCATGTTAAACCAGTTCATAAAGCCAGTAAAAAACAGACACGATGCTCCTCCCGCCGTGAAAATACGTTCACCGCGAGTGGCCCGGTCAGGACTTCGTCGTCGCAGATGGAAGAACGAAAGTGCGAACGAACGAGCGAACTGTCCACCCTGGTTTGACGAGACACTGAGGAGTAACTGAAGACTCTTTTTTGCATTCGTCCGTGGTTGCAATAGGAACAAGAAAAGCGGAAAAAGAAAAATAATAAGAAGGAGAGGAAGGAGGAGGAAAAACAAATGGGGTTCTTCTTGCTAAGGTCAGCGACCACCATCAAAGCAGCCGTCGCGGCTTCTGCTGTCCCTGCGGCTTTCGCCCTGTCTTCCCATCGTCGCTCTCCCTCTTCTAGTTCTTCCACCTGTTCTTGCTGTATCCGCTTCCCCAAGTTTCAGAATCCGGGCTTCTTGTCTCTCTCCCATTCTTCGAGCCACTTGGGCTCTCCGGCGACTGTCAGAGGCCTCGATCCCGCTCCCTCGGCTCTTCACATGGACGTGCCCACCTCCGATATCAAACCCACCTCCCAGGTTCTTGATTTCGGATGCTCTTGATCTGGGTCGTCTGTTTTGAAGTTGTTTCTCTTTTTCATATGATTTCTGGGCGGTTCTTGATTTTCCGGTGGTTTTCGATCTTTGCAGAATGGTGCTGTCCTGCCGGAGCTACTTGTGAGTCCTTCAATCCTCCTTCTCATGAATTTCTTTTTCTTTTTGTCGATTATAGGTATTTGGTTTTGGTTGGTGTTGCTGGAAATATGGGATTGAATTGATCCCTTCTTTTATCAATGGCATCTGTATGATGGTTTAGCTCTTGGTCTATGTAACTAGAGAAGTTCACATTGCCACCCTTCAATGATTTGTGAAATAAGAGCTTTTCTGTCGCTGGTAATGGAGGTTGATATGATTTTACATCGTTTTTTGGTTGGTGTTGCTGGGTTTAATAGTTTCATCCGATTTAATTTTGAAGCTTACATGTTGTTAAATTTTTCCCCTACAGACTGAGTTTATGGTTGATATGAAGTGTGAAGGCTGTGTTAATGCTGTGAAGAACAAGTTGCAGACTGTCGAGGGTAAGTGCTTATAGTCCATTAATTGTTTCGTTCAGGGCGGTTCATTATGTTCATCATCTTGCCTTCTCTAATTTCTTATCTTTCTTTATTTTTACTGAATTGTTGTGCTGTTCTTCTGATGGAAACTCATCTAGGAGTGAAGAACATCGAGGTGGACTTGAGCAATCAAGTGGTTAGGGTTTTGGGTAATTCACCTGTCAAGACTTTGACTGAAGCATTGGAGCAGACAGGTCGTAAAGCCCGCTTGATAGGCCAAGGTGTACCAGAAGGTGGGTCGACTATTCTACTATGATTGATGCAGTTCCACTGTGCGATTCTCTTTTTTGGAGACTTTAACCGCATATAGAAAGTATGTTGCTTTACTGTGACAGTCTAATTAGAAGCTCCAACAGGTTATAAATGCTTATTATTGATTTTGAGTCCATTGTAGATCAGAATTGCAAGTGATGATTGATAGGGATGCCTGAAAGTAGATTGAACTTCAAATGTGAAGAAACGGTGCATAAGTAAGCACCATCCATGAAATGCAATGCAGTCTGAAAATTTGAGGTAGATGAGTAAATTAACAAGGTAGGATAGTTCTCATTTTCATGAATTTACAGAATGAAAAGTACAATTTGTGAGTGCTTTGTTCTAATTGCTGTTGGGTGGCCTGCTACAGCACTAAGTGTGCAATCTAGCTAGTCATTTGGCTATTGATATATAAAGCCATCGTCTGCTGCATACCTTATCCTGTCTCTAAAACCTCTGTGTCCGGTTTGGTGATTATTATCTACATATACGATAAGGTCATTGATTTTTATGGTTCCTCTTGTCATTCATCTTCTTTCAAAACCTAATTGTCTGGAAAACGATTTAGGGGTAAAGTCGCCTCTATGACAGTTGAATGGATAATTAGGTTATTGATGCCATCACAACCGAGCTTCTTTTGCTGAAATAATGTTATCTCTTGCTCATAGCTGGTTGACAATAGAATTTTTAATGCTTTTACAAATGGATGCTGATAAAATTGAAATATCTTCATCTTGCAAATCAAAGGTTGTATTCGCATTGATGATGGTCACGGACCGTCCAATCTTACAAAAAGTTGAATTCGATTTTTACAAGACCTGCATCTGTTCAAGCTCATTATTCCATGTCTTGGTAAAGAGTTTCTGCATTGCACATATCCATGTGAAAGATGGTCGATTATTCGACAATGTGAAAAGAACCAGGGCACACTTTTTTCAGCCTACATGTGGTGGTAATTTGTTCTTGCTCTTGTGCAGATTTTCTAATATCTGCCGCTGTAGCGGAATTCAAAGGTCCAGATGTTTTTGGAGTAGTTCGCTTAGCTCAAGTGAGCATGGAATTGGCTAGGATTGAAGCCAATTTTAGTGGGTTGTCTCCCGGGAAACATGGTTGGTCTATCAACGAATATGGTGATTTGACCCAAGGGGCAGCAAGCACTGGGAAGATTTTCAATCCGACTGCCGAAGCAACTGCAGATCAGGTTTGCTCACCTATACTTCCTTTCAAGTTTGCTCGTTCTAATGACCCATTTTCTCACTATGAGCATATTGTATGGGGGATGATGACGGGTTGTTTTTGCTTTTGCTTCATATTTTCTGTTAATAAAGCCTAAGACTAGCTTAAATAAGATTTCTAAAATAAAAAACAAGTGGTGAAGTAAGTGCACAATATGTGACTTGCATGCAATGCATCTTATGTCGTAACATAAATAGATTTATTGAGCCCTATCTGTGTACCCGTTGTATAATGTTGTATTTTCTGGTACATCACGGATTGATGCATCTGAGCAGACAAGGAATACTTAGTGCTTGGAATAATGAATGCTAAGAGGCTTTGGCGAGAGAGCGGGTCTCGAAATTAGCTGCGATTTTTTTCAAGCTTCATTTCTTTGCATGTAATTTTGGATTCACAGGTTACGTGTCCGTCCTCCTACTGCATGTGTCTAGAGTTGATAGTCTGAGTGTTTTAAGCATGAACTTTGTCTTGGTGTCCTCTGTTCATCCTGGATTGCATAAGTGCTTCGTACATAGTTATGTTACATATGCTTGTTGACCAGTCAAAGGTTTATATAATGTGCTTTTGCTGATTTGCTACTTGATTATCTGTAACTTTTGCTCTTGCTTTACATTTCATGCATTTCATCCCGGCATAATTTAATATCACATGAAACCTTTTTGTGTTTCTGGGTGTCCTAGCATGAGTCTGCCGAGGTGTTTTTGTTGTGATATCACCTGCGGTCTGTCTCGCTGATTGTTTAATGTGATTCGGATTGAGCTGTTGTTCCATTTCTTTAATGTGGTTCGCATTGAGCTGCTGTTCCAATTCTTGTGTTCCAGCCCCTTGGCGACCTGGGAACACTAGATGCTGATGAGAAGGGTGAGGCTTTCTTCTCCGGTGTCAAGGCAAAGCTACGAGTTGCTGATCTCATCGGACGCTCTGTAGCAGTCTATGAAAGTGAAGATAAATCGGACACAGGCACTGCAGCTGCTGTAATTGCGAGAAGCGCCGGTGTGGGAGAGAACTACAAGAAGCTCTGTTCATGCGACGGGACCACCATATGGGAGTTGAGTAATAGTGATTTCGTCAACAGCAAATTCTAAATTCATATGAGATCTCAGAAGTCATAAAATATTATTAGAGAGGCATGTATCGACACGAGGGTTCAATTTGTTACTATTGATAAGAAATGAACAGACAAGTTACTTAGCCCTTCGTATGCTTTTCAGCTGCATCGGTTGATGTCAGGTCAAAAAAACAATTTCGTGCAAATCTCCTGATCCAACATGGATGACCAGCTTTAACCACCCTAAAAATGCAATGTTGATGTGCAAAATCTGGCTCTAAAGTGTAAACATGACATAATTGAACCGATTGACCAGCCCTTTCATGGAACGAGAGAAAGCTTCAGTGTCTCGCTGAAGAAGCAGGTTGACTTTTCAAAGGAAGGAGACCTTCTCGCTTGGCCATCTCGTAGAGCCCGATCGCCATTAGAACCTTCGCATCACCGGTTGCACGCCACAGTTTCTCATAAGGTACGACACGAACCTTAATGAGCTCGCCATGCTCTTGAAGACCAGTATCCTTGCCTTGCAGCTGCTTGATGATCTCTGAGTCCACATTCCCTCTGAATAGGAAGATGCCTATTTCTTCATCGCAACCTCCCTACACATGGATTAGCATCCAAGCATGAACTTCATGCCTATAAAATATCAAAATAACTAAAGATACACTTCAAATGTAGATCGACTTAGTTCCATGATGTGCAAGCCTTTATCATATCTAAGATGTTGATTCATTTTTTTCCACCCTTATGATGACAAAATCACCACGTACATGTCCCCAAGTACGAAAGGACATGAGGTGCTCTTTTAGCATATGAAAGAAGTCAACCAGCAATGAAAAAATTGTTATGCTTGCATAGTTCTATTAGCGAAACCCCCTACTCTTCCTTGCCTTACCTGATGAAATCACAAGCCGTTAAGAGGACCATGGCTTGGTTTAATTGAGATGGGATAAGATAGATATGAATGCACCCTTCAAAGAATTGTAAGAGAGAGTTCACAGATGACAACTTCTTGCAAAAGCTCCTCGTAGAAAATGAGAAGCACAGGTCCAAGACATCAAAGGCAGATTTTAAGCATATCCTAGGCCACAAAAGAAAATTTGCTCCTGAACGTCAACCTAATGCAGCACGTTTCTCAGACACACTTATCTTTCTTCCTCTTTTTCTTTACTAGAGCAACTTCTACATATTATTCACATTAAATGAATGTTTAATCAGAAAAACTTCAAATGTTGAAAGGTCGCCATACCGGAGAAGGAATCACCCTGCATCCAGTAGATGGATCGAGAAAAGCTGTCAGGTCAACCATGTCTTCCAGATTCAGCTGGATGCCTGTCTCCTCTTCGACCTGTTACATTAACGAGTCATCGTGATCAGTAAAAAGCCAAAAAAACAAAAAGCAAGAGTGCAAGTGCTGCAGTCAGTATTGGTGGTGCCTAGTTGGTTTACTATATAAGCCAGGATTCATTCGGTACCATCACGACAAGAATCAAAATCCAGGGTAATAATCTACAAGAGCACTTACAGAATCAGAGAATATGAAAATTGAATGTGTAGAAAAATTGAAATTCAAGGAAAGAGAAATGAAGAGGATCAAGACCTCACGAACTGCTGTGCCAACAAAATCGCCTTTGTCATCATCCAACATTCCAGCAGGCAATTCCAAAACAAACCTCCCCACAGGAACTCTAGCCTGCGAGGTGCACAAATATTCAGCTTGAAGAAACAGTTATAAGATCATTTTTGGATTCAATAATACTTTTCATCATTTGTACTTTTCAGCTTAAAATTTAATTTTCAGCGTTTAAATAAGATGTTTAGAAGGAAAAAATCAAGGAAAAAATACCACCTGAGACATCAATGCAGAATGTATACCTGCTCAGTAAGAACAGCATAAGTTACTCCATCCGAATCCAACAGTATCAGCACAGCTACAGCTGGTCCTCGAGCAAAAACTATACCTGGCACCTAATAATATTTTATTTCCATGACTCTAAAGAAAATTAAAGTGTTTTAGAGCACAAGCACAATGCGATGCAAAAGTACTTCCTTGAATCACCTCCTCTACAGGCCACATGTTTAATTAGAAAGAGAGAGATTCCACATGAATGATATCGATGCTTAGAACTGATTAACATACCTTTTTCCCAGTTTCTTTGTCAAAAATATCTGCCTTGAATTTGAGAAACCCAATGCGGCTTCCAAACATATCCACGCCCTATTATAAAGATCATTACTTCTCGAGTCCAGAGAAAATAGCGGACATACGATAACACAATAAGAAAACACACTTCCTTAAGAGTTCTATGGCCTTCATCAATACAGATTGGTGTTTCGGTAAGAGTCATTGTAAAACATAATTCAATTTCGTAATGACCATCAAACGAAATATCCATGATCGTTGCCAAGGAATTCTTCAATGTTTTTTGCCGGTTTATAACATTTACAGATGAGAAGAAATAACATCTTGTGGGCATAGGGTTGTGGGGAGCAAAACATGCTTAATGGTTTTCACATATCTCTCTTTAAATGTTGGAAAATTACACATCCAAGCATGATTCCAAAAAAAAATTTCCCCATAGAAAGTCTCCATTTTTACAAAACTCTTCAAAGCAACTCCTAAAACCAAGTAGCTCTTGCTCGACTCACTACAGTTGACCACAAAATAGGGCAAAGCTCTCCGTCTGCAACGCGAAGCAAAGAAAGGAACAAGAATTAGGCAAAAACACTACCTGGATAAGCACTCGCTTCAGCGTCGCAGCGCCGCTAGACAAAATCCCAGTTTCGCTCTGCAAGTTCTTGAGCCACTGCTTGAACAGAGACGAGTCAACGGCACTTCTGCAGAAACCCACCGAGACAATTAAGGCGAACGGCCAAAACCCAACATGGGATTCGCTGCAAAACTGAAGGAAGAAACACCAAAGGAAAGTCTTTTGACCTGAACTGGGAATCAGAGATTCCGGGGGCAGCGACAATGTGGACGGGTTCGCTGGGCTGAACAGGCAGAGCGAGGGTGCGAGAGAGTGACGATGATGGGTTTGAGCCGCTCGACATTCTGCAACACGGAGGTCTCCTCCAGTGGGGCGACGACGATGGGGAAGTGATTTTCTTGGCGAAAGAGATCAGAGTGCGAGAAGGTTGAAGAAGATGAAGATGAAGATGAGTCATTTTTTCGTATTTCTAGGGGACGCTGCACTGGTCCTCGTCGAAGTGGAACTTTTTAGGCAGTGGACGAGTGTTTTTGCGTAAGGGAGAACGAGAGGTCCCTCAATTTTAATTCCATATACAATGTCGACCATAAAAATTTACTTTTCTTAATATTATCCTTTAACCTAATTTATAACGTAATCTTTAAATTGTTAAATTATTCGATATGGTCGTTGAATTTTTTATAACATTATCGTATAATTTATGGACTAAATTGAATAAGACATTTTCATATAATTCAGAGACTAAATTAAATGTGTATTAAAAGTTCAGGGAAGTAGATATTAAAATTTCAGGAACCATATTAAACACATTAAAAGTTCAAAAACCAATTACACATTTGACCAAAGTTAAGAAATAACGTTGAACAAATTAAAAGTTCAGTGACCGTATTGAATATTGTGCCAAAGTTTAGGGACCATTTATGTCATTATTCCTTTTGCGAAATGACATTTTTCTTATTATATATAGTCTATTTGATTGCTTGGGAAGTAATTACTTTGCTTTTTTTCTGTTTTTGATCAAATTTAGAAAATAACAACAGATCAAAAATACTCCCTTCCTTCTCTTTTGATATAACTTCTGTTTCTAGAACTGAGGACTTGGAACTTATAATAGCTATATAATTGAATTTGTTAATAGACCATACTAATGGCGAGCCTTGACGGGCTAGGTTGTATACCGAACTCAAAAGTCATTGTTCGGACCTATCCATAATTTAAAAAATACCAAACTTTTGGGTCAAGCGGAGACGATCCAAAACGGAAATTTCGGGCTAATAGCCAAAGACTAAAAGCGGCTCATCGAGTCGCCCACTTTATGAAAAGGTCTCTTTGCTTTAATGTTGTTTAATTATCTTTACATGACAACCCATATATCCAGTACAACACTTGAATGCTGTCTATCACAAATTGTTTGACTACTTTGCATCAATATAATTGAATTTAAAGGAATTTTTTCTAATATATATTGTACGCTATTGTACCTACAACCAAAATGGCTTTTTGTGTTTGGTCGTGACAAAACGTCATATGGACGAAGAAATTCGTAAGGCCCTAATATGAAAAAAAAAATCCAATTTATGGAATTTTTCACTTACATCGTAATGTCGTAGAGACTATTAAAAAATTACATATTTATGACATTTTTATATTTGTTTGTGACTTAAACAAGAAGATGGCATAAGATGTGATTTTTTTTATCTACAATGTTTGGTTAAAACCAAGTATAGAGTCATATGATGCGAATTTTTTACGTTTTGAAATTACAACATTTTGACATGCTGAAAATAAGGTTGAGCACTGATTTATGATAGACCTTGGAATTGGATCGGACCGACCTTACCCAGCTGATTTTAATCCGGTTCTCGATTTCAATTTTTTTTGAAACCGGCTATTACCAATCCGGTTCCTGTTTTTGGGTGCGGAACCAGACCAAACCGGGAAACCAGTCCTAACCGAGAAACCCTAATTATTGTATTTTGAGTGGAACTTCGGGGTAAGTTGTTCATCAATACCGTAGCGAGACGTCACTTCCAATATCAAGCATTAGTCACGGCAAAAGAAGGATAATTGAACACAGTCAAGAGCCAATCGTTTTATCATATTTATGGACCACAAGACTCAAGTACTTGCGCCACGACCACAAGCGAGATCTATATTTTGAGCAAATAGGATCAGAAAATCCATATTATACAGGCATGAGGCCAGAATGAAGTTTTATAGTTCACGTTTTTGTGTTACGTGTTCATTTTTTATGCTACGTGTTGCTTTTGACGGATGAGAATTTCTGTCATTATTTTAACTTTCGTTTTGCTTGGCTAAGAGATGAGTAGGACACTTCCCAATTGCTTTATATATCTATAATTTTTTTACTGTACTTCTCGCTTTTTGTTGCTATACTATTTTGTTGTAACTCATATTTGTCTCGATTGAAAATGAGTAATGTTTGTTCAAGTTTGTCTTTTCAAGGAATAAAAAAAAACTCTAAAACTAGATCGAATCGACAAGTCGATTTCAAGGTTTATAAGGTAAGTTCTAAGTTTCGAATACTAGATTCCAATCCCGATAGGGTAGGTTCCAAGTTCAAGATCTGAAATCTACCCACCCAGAAGCCACTCATCCCTAATTGGAAACATTGTGAATAAAATAAAATTGTTGCGATATGACATTTTCGGTGTAACTTGGAACTTTTGAAAACTTACAAGGTTACTGTATTTCCTCACAATCATCTAAAATAGTGTCATGGAAAATCCCAAATTTAACAGTTATGTCGTGAAATACAATGTTATATAATGGAGAATCTCGAATTTAATAAGTATGTTGAAAAGAAGAATCGAATACAATAATAAGCAAGACAAGAAAATAAATCGGACATCGAATTTAAGTGATTCGCTTCAATGTAACCTACTTCACTAGGTGAGTAATATAGAATTACCACAAGAATTCACGGCTCAAACACTAACTTCATAGAATGTGGTTTATGGATTATTTTTCACCAATTGCACAAGACTTCACAGGCTCGAGAAATCTCCATCGAGCCGCTCGGTTCATGATCAGGTCTCTTTATTTTAACATTGTTTAATTATCTTTACAGTACAACCCATTTGTTTACCATAATATATTTCCTTGTCTATCACAAATTGTTGGATTATTTAGTATTGATGTAACTGAATCGAACGGGAGTTTAATCTTTATGGTACACTATTGTACCTTCAACCAAAACGCTTTTTGTATTTGGTCGTGATAAAAGCTGGCCCGGACACCTCGGTTACCAAAAAAAAAAAAACATCATATGAAGTTCAATATCAACCAAAAAGTTTCGTAAAGTGGTAAAATGAAAAAAAAAATATGGAATTTTTCCCTTACATCATAACATCATAAAAATTAAGAAAATTTATATTTTTGTGATATTTTTTTTCTATTTGGTATGACTTAAACAAGAAGATGTCATAAAATGTGACCTTCTTATGTACAATCTTTCGTCGAAACCAAGTGCGAAATCATACAATGAGTATAATTTTATGTTCCAACATTACATCCTTTTATCGTAGCCACTCGTTGAAATCATTGTAAACTTTAAAAAAAAAAAATTGTCTCGATACGCCATTTCGTTGTAACTTCGATTTTTCCACATGAGACCATAGCATTTTCTTATAGTCAAGTATAAAAAGCCATAAACCAAACAAAAGAGTCATGTAATACAACACTGTGTCGTATAAAATCCCAAACGTAATAGGTACATGCATAGAGATTGGTCAATCCGAGTATTCGTACATAGCATGTCATAGAAGAAAATAGATGCGTTGGGTATCTGTACTAAGAGGACCCTCTGATCGAGCTTTTAGTTCCACAAGCATTTATTTCACCAAACTGAGCATGAAGGGAAAATTTTTTGGGACGCTGGCAATGAGCTCCAACGATTCTTGATCCAAACTAGCAACACTCTTGATGCTGCAATCGATGCCCTTTCATTCAGTGAAAGGGTAATTCTCGTACCTCATCCTGCAATCCTTAAGCTGCACTTGAGCGCCGGTGTTCTGCGGACAACCATCTGTTAAATCATATCTAGCCGCCTGTAAGCATGTGAAGCAGTCGTAATGCGAAATAGCTCCATTGCAAGCCGCGTGGCCGTAGCAAGTTTGACCCAAGTCGGTCGATTGCCTGTAAAAATTAAAACCGTTATCTGCCGTCCTGGACACCAGATCTTGAAGGACGTCGTTCACTTCCGCATCGTAGATGCTTCCGAATCCGACCTTAATCCCATTACATATTTTGTATACAATCGTCGTATCGGAGTCGGCTATCACGTTGATGCAGATGCAAGAGAACCACATTAAAATGACAAGAGTTCTCCGAACGAGAGCCATGTATGCCTCTCTATGATTAGAGAAATGACTTACATAAAATATATAACTTTGACAAAGAGGAGGCGGTAATTTATAACTTACAAATCCTCGTTGTTTCCGATTTATTTATATGTTACGATGTCCTAGCTTATATCGATTTGTGTGTGTGCGTGTTGTTTTTACCTAGTTTTTGTCACGAATTTTGTCAATGATCGATATTACGAGCATTTTGTGTTGAGTATGGACTTCCATAGTTCGGCTAAGAGGAATCCACTTTCATAGCACAATTCCATTGTTGCCTTCTCGTAGCATATTCTCATTATTGCATCCAAACCCAGAATTCAAATTTTGAGGCACGACAGAATACTCAAATTGAAATATTATATATGTATATATTTAATTGTACATATATATGTTCTACTCTCTCTTCTCTCTCCATCGTCTTCTCCAACATGTAGCCATGGGGGAGGTTTTAAACTAGTCTCACCCTTCCCTCCCTCTCTTGTTGATTTTGTTTGTAATTTTATATTTTTTTCTTGTTTTTTCTTCTCTTCCCATTTAGATCCGGGAGCTCTCTTCTCTCAATATAGTTCTAGATCTGAAATTTGAACTCTTCCGATTTAATTCTAGATTTGAGAGTTATCCTCTCCGATCTAAATCTGGGAGTTTAATGAATATGCTTTCTGGAATTCGATGCCCCTATGCTCTGTCCGTATATAAGTCATCTACCTCCAGCTTCAATGGTAATCGTTAGAGCTCTAACGTTTTGCTAAACCATAGAGATTTGTTCTCCCAAATGTTAGATCTGCGTTCGTTCAACCTATTTTGGTTATCTTCGTATGGCGATGGTGTAGAGAAAGCCAAACCTAAACCCGCAAGGCCAATTGATAACACCGTATTTACTGGAGAAGAAATTTGCGGTATATGCTCATCACTTACAAGGAAACAAGATTCAGTGATCGACCGCCGATTATGTTGCTTGACAAATTCGTTTGTGTACAACGAGCATGTGCTTAACTCTACTAATGCTTTATTGATCCTCCTTGTTTTCTAGATTTGATTTTGGTTTGCAGCATTTTGAGCTTTTACTCTACTTCGATGTGCTTTGATATGAATGTACTTCTCATGTATCTTTTTGAGCCATAAATAAT